GCTACGCTTACTTTTTTGGTAGTTTTTCAGTTTGCAGGCAACGGCTATGTTTTGTCAAAGAAATGAAATAATTTTTTTAGATGTTTCTGGTCTCCCATGGACTCAAGCTTACAGAGTTAAAATTTTGTATTAAATGACTAGATTAATTCCATTAAATCATTGAGTAGGTTAGATCATTAAATTATTTGGAATTAATGTTTTTTTTTGACAACTGTTAATTTGTGGGGATGGTATGTAGAAGTATTAATGTTCGGCTGTTGGGAATTTAGTGAAATATTGAACGAAGTCTAGCTAAATTTGCGTCGATGCTACTTAATATCCGGTTTCTTTTCCTCTTTGTTCGTTTGTGAGCTGTTCGATCGAAATTCAACTTTATTGAGATGCATCAGTTACTTTAATGTCTAGTTTAGCATTTGTTGGATAGTAAAAAAGCTTTTGGTCAAAGGAACTATTGGAAAAGCGAAAAAAATTGGATTGAAGATAGAAAAAAGAGAAGAAGAGGGGATATGGGATAGGATGAGGTTGGCATTAGTAAAAGGAAAAGAGGAAGAGGTTTTAAAGCTTTGGTGTTAAACTGGAAATTGTAATTACCATGTCATTGCTTTCTATCCGTTTTTACGTATGTTCTAAACAACCCTCGATATTGGCAACGATAGAGTTTAGTTAATGTTTTAATAGAAAGGAGTTCTTTTGGAAGTTGAACCTGTTTATAAATCTTATTTATTTTTTAAATTAGTGGGGATTTGTGATTTCCCCGAATGCAGTTTTTACTGTTGCTGAATCGATTTTGAAAAGTGTGATCACTTGTTTTAGCTTAGTATGTGCGCTCGTCGTCAAAGTTATAAAGTGAGAAATTTATGGTTAGATAAATGTGCTCGGTAATTCCTCATTTTCAGCAAATTGAAGACACGTTTTTTTTCTTGGCCGTGGTATTGCGTTGATATAAACGTGCTTTTAGTTTTTTCATGGGATTTATTAACATTGCTTTCGTTTACTTCGTTTGATCGGTTTGCAGAAACTTTATGTTGTTACAGCATTTGAATTTTAATCACATATTTGTTTAGGAAGAGTGACAGGAGTTACGGGAGCCTCGTTTTTTCCCTTTTTCTTTTTTTTTTTTCGAAATTAAGGATACCAAAGATTGGTCAGGATGCTCATTAAAGAGTAGTAAGTGCTCTATTTCTTCTTGTTTCATCTTAATTTTTCGTTTTCTTTTAAGTAATGTTTTCTTTGCTGTTTTGGAATTCTTATTCGAAGTCCTAGCTCATTCTTATGTTAAATCCGTACTCATCGCGGTTAGGGGATGTCATTTTAGTTCTTGCTTTTTTCGCGAACGGTAAGGGTAATTTCAGACTGCGGGCAGTCATAGTAGCTGATCTTATAATTTGTTGGATAGTTTGTTATTTCTGAGGCTGTAGTTTGTTTTTGTCGACTTTTTTTTCATAAAGGGTGCAAATCCTTTCTGCTTAATCTTTTCTTTTTCATATGTCTTTTCTTTCTTTATGCAGTTTTTCCTTGAATTAGTGGGTTTTTTAAAAGGTGACTAGAAGTTTGCATATGAGTTGGCGATAAGATTGACAGGATACTAGGTTTAGGCTGATAAGTGTATTCTCCCAATGGAAAATGTTTTTATATTTCTGTATTGCTTCCAAAGCCCTTTTTGATTCAAAAGATCGTATGTACTTTATTTAAATGGCTTTCAGTCGTGTTGTTCTACCGATGACGGTCGATGAGTTTCAAGTTGGGCAACTATATTCGGTCGCTGAGGCTTCTAAGGCTGAAACTGGTGGCGGCGAAGGTGTGGAAGTTTTAAAAAATGAACCTTTTGAAGATGTTCCTTTGCTAGACGGCCAATATTCTAGAGGACAGTATACTTTAAAATATTATCATTTGCAATCGTAAGTGCCCTACAAATAGTCCTCTTTTTAACTAACTTAATTTATCATAACGTGTGATGTATTAGTTCCTGAGGCAGTGAGGAAACTAAGAAAAGTAATATAGTTTTCAAGTAATTTTTTTTTGAAAAGAGGACTAGTTTTTAAGGATCGTTTTTGAAGTTTTTGATAAACTATTTTGCTCGTGTATTATGCTATTTCTCTTTTAAAGGAAGGTTCCCCCTCTAATTCGTAAACTGGCCCCCAAAGGTTCCTTCAAAATACAGGAAGAAGCGTGGAATGCTTATCCTTACTGTAAAACTGTGCTTACGGTCTGTTATTTATGTACAGATATATACATGTGTAATTTTTTTTCCCTTTTTTTGCTTTATACATAATATTTTGCTTTTTTGTTTCAAATTTACTAGGAATTCTTTTTATTCCAGAATCCAGAGTTTATGAAAGAATCCTTCTACGTGAAAATTGAGACCATACATTTACCAGATAGGGGTACGACAGAGAACGCTCACTGTTTGAGTCCAGAGTTATTAGCGCAGCGAGAAGTTGTTTACGTAGATATTGCGAATGATAGGGAGTACCTTAGTCGGACGGTATAATTTTCTTTTTTATTTTTGCTTGTTACAAAACATAAATATTGCCAAAGTCTTCTTAAATTGCTTTTTGATCGCTAAATGTGCTTCATTACAAGCTTTGAGCTGCGTTGTATGGACGTCCCATTTAGTCATAAACGCGGCTTTTTCTTATTTATCTTTTTTCAGTAATATTATCTGAAAAAGTTTTTGTGCAGTTTTTTAAACAAGATTATGACTCTTTTTGTTTAGGACATATCACCTGAAACGACTCCTTCTAAATTCCATTCAGCCAAAACAGGACGTGGTCCGCTGTTGAACAACTGGATGGAAACCGTTGAGCCTGTTATGTGTGCATATAAATTGGTTACAATTTATTTTAAGTGGTTTGGATTACAAACAGTAGTGGAGAGATTTGGACATTCGGTACATTTGTTCAGCAATGTTTAATTAGCTTGATTTTTTGTGACTTTTTCAAAAGCAAGTTTCGAATAAGTTGTATGAAATTTCCATGAGTAATTTCTCTGCCTCTTTTTTACAAAATACGAAAAATTTTTGATATTTCATTACTTTTAACTTACCACATATTTATTTTAGCAGTATCCTCGACTGTTCTCAAAATTTCACCGAGAAGTGTTTTGCTGGATTGATAAATGGCACGGATTAACGATGGCTGACATTCGGCGAATAGAAGAACAGGTGCAACGTGAATTGGATGAGGTAGATCTGGATATCTTTGAGTTTACTTTTTTTGGCGATAACAGAAGCATTCAGCGATTCATACGTAGCTTGTAATTTGAAATTCTGCTTTAGGCTCGGCGGAAAGGTTCAGTTAAAGGAATGGTTGCAACGTAATCAGATGTTTAGAAATCTGCCGTCATTATATGATTTTTTAAATTGTTCCTCTGATGGATGTATATGTGAGGCAGTCACAGTTACGATAGTCACGTAAATGGATTTGAAGCCTTTGATTTATTTTTTTAAAATTTATTGTTTCATTTTTTTGTAAAAATTAAGTTTGGTTTGTCCACTCTCACGGCATACCTAATATGGTAAGATTTTTGTTTCATTAATTTTTTAGAATCACACATATAAAGGTGTGTCCATATTTAGTTTTCTTATCAGTTTAAGGATAATATTAACTGGAAAAAATGCCTCAGAAAAGTTCATTATCAATTAGAGAGCTATTTTTTAGTCTTTAGTTCTTTCTCTTTCCCTGCGGTTTTGATTGATTTGGCAACTGGTTCACAATTGTTTTTTTCTTGCTTGTTTTGAAATTGTTCTTTGTTTCTCTGCTAGTGTGTAAAAGCAAGGGTTTTTATATTGCGTGTCTTTGTGCTGTTTTAGGCTTGTTATGAGTGATGCTTGGCAGCACCTTACTCGGTATATACGCGTTGTCCTTTGTCCTTCTTCTTTGTGCGTTTGTTTGTAAAAGACTTCGTAGAAGTTCAAGCTTTAAAGGAGCAATATCTTGTGACATTACCTGACATTAGGGGGAAAAAGGAAAAATTAATTTCGGAATGGATGAAACCCTGTACCAATAATGTGTTTTTTTTTTTTTTTTTTTTTTTTTTTTTTTTT